TTTGGGTGGAGAAAAAAATGTTTTGAGAATGATGTACAAATGCGCTTTACACAATTGATGTGTGTATGGATTGCGATGACAGTTGTATGAGCCCCTAATAAAATGTTTCAAAAAAAAAAAAAGAATTAGGGTCTTGGAAACCCACAGTGTGTCTGTCTCCCCGAGTCAGCATTGATTTGAGGCAGCGAGTTCAGTTTGGCTCTTCAACTCAGGGCTCTGATGCCCAGCGCCCCAGAGAGGGACCCACGATCACTCTGATATCTCCAGCCTCCAGGGATTGGCAGGTGTGAGGCTTAGTTCAGAGGCTGATGATATATCCCTGTTCTGCTCCCCGAAATAATTTACCCTCCTCCTGAGTACTGAGGCACGCTGTCACTCGACACCACCAGCCATCTTTTCCCTGTCACCGCCTCTTCTTCGTCATTGATTTCTTCAATATCAGAGTTGTAAAACAAGCTGACCTTCACACACAGCAGCCCTGTCAGGGTTTGGAATGCCTGAGGAAACGGCCTCTCCAGCCCCTCTGTGGCTTCAATCTCCCTCCCACCTCCAGGGCCAGGCCTGTGGGGGGCAGACCTGAGGGTGCTGCACAGGCAGCACTGCTGGGCCCCACCCGGCTTTCTGGTTCAGCAGGTCTAGTCTACCAGCCAACAGGCTGAAAGCGCCAGTCCCCTGGGGCACTCGGAAGAAAGGCCTGGCAAACTGCTGTTGAAAAAACCCGGCCACTGAAAATCCAGTGGAACACAGTTCTACCCTGGCACATGGGGTTGCTGTGAGTTGGAGTGGCTGCAATGGTAACTATTAGGTCCGGGGCAGGGCTGGAGAATGGGAGTTTCAGCACATGGCCAGGAGACGTGGATGCTCCCGGGGCAGGGACATCCCGCTGAAGGAGAACTGACAACCAACTCAGCAGTAGGCACACTGGGACTCTGACAATGGCTGCTGTGTTGTGTGAGGACAAAGGAAGAGTCCACAGGGCTGGGGGAATTTGCGGGGGCGGGGGGTGCAGAGAGCAGGTTCCCTCCCAAGAGAAGAAGTGAGGCAAGAGAAAAGCTGTGTCTACCACACCAACCCCACTGTCCTCCCACCCTGCGACAGCCTCTACAGGAGAGAAGCCCAGAGTGGATCATCCTCCCTCCTGCATACTCTACGGCTCCCTGCTCCCTTTAGATCCCAGGAGCTTCCCTGTGGAAGCCAATGCCCTGCTCTGGATGCTTCATGTCCCACTCATTGGAACATGGGCTCTCCTCTCTAGCTCAGAATTCATTTTCTGAGTGCAGATTGGTGCAGGCAAAGCAGAGGGGCCACCCAGACCTTTCTGCCTACAGGTTAGCCCTGAAATGGTGACCCACGAGGGCCAGCTTCTGCAGGGTTGGTCACGAAAGTGCTAGCTCTTAAGAGAAAGCCCGGCATGGCCTCTGCATTACATGGATGGTGCTGGAAACAGGCTTTTGCCACACCCCCTACTAAGACCTGGCTATCGACCCCCTGGATCTCAGTGGAGAGAGTTGGGGTCACAGTCAGCCTCGCCTTTCTAGATCTGCACTCTTGGTTCCTCTGGGTCAAGTTCCCTCGCACTGAGGTCAGGAAATCCTCTAGGAGCTTCCAGGGCCCCTCCTGCCCCCACCATTTGCCAGCTATGGATTCAGCTTCTCCCCACCCCCTGTGTGTGTGTGAGTGTGAGTGTGAGTGTATGTGAATGTGAGTGTTGGTGACTGTGTGTGAGTATGTGTGTGGAAGAAAGAGATGACACAAGCTTGTACTGGACTCCTGATTTCTAGACATTGAAGGTCAGGGCATCTCGTTACCTTTCAGCAGAAAGTACCACGGTTGTCCTAGATACCTGTCTTCATAGACTGAAACTTATCAGGTGCTACATCCACCATGAACTGCTCTGAGGGGTTCCCTTCCCCAACTTCAGGGAGAGTGTTTTCGCTCAGAGAAAAACAAAATCACATCCCAACTATTCAGTCCAGCTAAGCCCCTGGGTTGCTTCAAAGACTAGCCCCTAGGCTGCTTGGCGTCAGCACGGTGACAGACAGAAGACACCAGGCCATCCCTGTGGCCTCATCAGGACCCAAAAAGGCAAGGAGTCACCGCCTAAAAGCCCCAGTCCCGCCAAGCTTCCCCACTAAGCATCGCATACTAAGAGGCTCAGTGAGCTCATCTGTTACCTGTGGCTTTCGAGTGGGCAGTTCCCAAAGTCTCCTACAGAGCTGGCACTGGGTGCCAAGGCCTGGGGCAAGTGCTATGCACAGTTCCACTCACTCAAGCACAGGGGTCTCCTGAGGGAGAAGCACCACCATGCTCATCTCACTGCAGAGAGAACGAGGCTCAAACAAGTGCAGTGCCAGCCAGGGTCTCCAACAAGGGAGGTCAAGGCTGGGCTCCACTGTCGTCCAACAGTGAGGTCCCTGCCCTCTCTGCCAGCGCACAGTGTGGCCTTTTATGACAACTGTACATTTCCGGGGGACTCTGGTGGAGCATTTCAAAGGGACCGTGGCTGTACAGTGACAGCTATTGGAAAACAGCCTTTCTCCGACGCACATAGCACCCTGCTGGAGGCTGAGCGGGCTCCAGGGTGCGTGAAGTTACCCCCATAACAGTGCCCACGTGCTTCTCTCCTCAAACCCCTGCCCACCACTGACGCCCAGAGCCCCGGCAGCACCCTCACCTGGGAAGGGCTCCTTGAGGAAGTGGCCATTGATGGTCTGGTTGGCAGTGCCCAGGGGGTTCTTGGCGATGAGGGTATAGTTGCCGTTGTTGTAGTGGGTGGGCTTGTTGAAGAGCAGGCAGCCCTCTGAGACCTCGCCCTCCTGGTAGTACTCCGCGTGGATGATCTTGGACTCCCGCAGCGGCTGCCCGTTGTGCAGCCAGTGCAGCGTCGGCGGCGGGTTGCCGCGCACCACGAATTCGATGCAGTGCTCCAAGCGCAGCTCGGGCTCCTCCAGGCTCACCACGCGTGGGGGGTCTGCCGTGGGGGTGGGGGGGGATACACAGAGTCACCGTGACCTGCAGCAGCCTTCCAAACACTATGCCGGGCATCCCGGGGTCCCACCCTGGCTCTTAAGGGGCCTGAGGAGAGTCGAGGGCTCCCATTGCCCCAGTAAAGGGAGAGCGATGGCCGTCTTCCCACAAGCCTCCTAGATCCATCTCAGTTGGCCAGTCTCCCGGCATGTAAAGATTTGGCACCGGCAGACTGGAACCAGCATAGGAGTCCCTGCAGACATAGTTGACGTGTGGGCACATCATTTCAGGGACATGCTTGGTGCCCACTGAGGTTACTACCCCTGGTTGTGAGCCCTCAGGAGTGACCACCCAAGCAGCCGTAGCTCAGTCTTGCCTTGGAATAGTCTGCCCGCCACTACAGCTCAACCCTAGGAAGACCCCTGGACCCCTCCCCAGCCCCTGCCCGGCATCTCCGTGGGAGTGCACCCTCCACCCTGGTGTTCGCTTACAGAAGACGGTGAGGGCAACGCTGGCATTGCTCATGCCCACCACGTTCTCGGCGATGCAGGTCAGGGTGAAGCCATTGTCCTCGCTCGTCACATTGACCAGCGTCAGGTTGATGGCGTGCACGTTGGTCCAGTTCAGATTGGTCTGAAAACCCCAATCAAAGGACAGCTGAGCCTTAATGAGCAGCTCATGCCACCCAATGCCAAACCGCCTTGGCCTGCCTAAAAGAAAGCTAAGCAGAAGGGAAAGGGGGGCCCTTCTGGGGAGGGGGCGGCTCTTTATACAGCCTGTGATAAAAATGGCACCAGCCAAGTGCAAGGGCCCCGGAGGCCTGTATCTTTCGTAGTCAGTCCTCACACTAGCCCTGGGAGGTGAATGTGATCACCACGCTCAGTGTGGGGCTGAGTAAACGCAGGTAGAAAGAAGGTTAGCAGCACGTAGACGGTCAAGGTGACTAGAGTATAAAGCCGCTGGAGGGAAGCCAAGTCCATGAGCCTTACATACATAGACCCACACGTTTGTCCTCCCCGCCCAACCCCTCCCTGGTTCTCCTGTATCTTGCGTCTCATTCAGACTAAGAAGTAAAGGTTCTCCAGTCTCCTCGATGGGGTCCAGTCCAGGAGGCCCACCTGGTGCGTGTTGATGGACTGAAGCCCAGTGACCATCCAGTCCACATCGGGCAGAGGTGATCCGGAGCCATTGCAAGTGATGACAGCGTTGTCGCCCTCTCGTACGGTCAGGTTGACGTGGCTGACACTGATCTCAGGAAGGTCTTGGGGGAAGAAGACAAGAAAGATGAAAACCTCGGCAGAAGCTGCCATCCACACGGACGCTCGGTCCGAGGGCTCCTGGTAGCATTTCGTCCCTTGCCCAGTCCCGACTCCAGCCAACTGCCTGAGCCCTGATGGGTCCTAGAGCCCCTGAAGGCTCACACACCCTCCTCAGGGGATTAACGTTCCTGTAGCTAAGCTCTCCTACATAGCAGGGGTTTGGAGTAGGACGGACAACTGCTCAAGGAACCCCACCGTAGCCATTAAACCAAATGAGGGCATTCACTTGGGCACTGGGTCTCAAACAGGGCTGTGCTTCAGACTCCTGTGAAAATGCAGGTTTCTGGGACAATGTTGGCTTATGCAGTCTGGTTTGGCCTAAGACATCCAGGTGACGCCGCGGGGCTGCTAACTGAAAGATTGGCAGTTCAAACCCACCAGCTGCTCTGTGGGACAGAGAAGCAGCCGTCCGTTTCCATCAGGATTTACCTCCTCAGAAACCCTGTGGACCAGTCCTGCCCTGGCCTGAAAGGTGGCTGAGATCTGATTCAGTTCAACAGCAACGAGGGGGGCGGGTAGACAGGTTAGCCTAGCTAGCAGTCTCCGTTGTGAAAAGGCCCTCATGTGTTTCTGTTATGAGACCACACTTTGAGACACGCTGCTTCAGGTAAGAGTCCTAGTGGGGCCATGGCCAAGCACAAGGGTGAATCGGGGCTAGAAACCACCAGGGCGCAGCCCCCTCTCGGGTCAATAGCTCAGCCTGGGAACTCCCCTGGGGCAGCACCGCAGGTCTGGTTGGCCAGGCCCGAACCATGTGAGAGAAAGAGAGTCTTCTCTGGTGTGAGGGAGCAGACCTGGTTCCTTCGCACAGTCCTGCAACCAGCCTCCCCAAGGCTGGCTCACCAAGGGCAGGGATGCCCACGGAGGGCACAATCAGCCAGAGGGGCAGCACCCAGCCACAGGGTGGGGCACAGGCTAAGGTCCAGTGCTGCCTCTGGTGTGGGGGCTGGGGAGGGGGCTGCCTCCCCGGAGCCCACAGGCCTCTCCGCCCACTCACCACACTGGCTGATGTTCATGCGGAAGAGGGGCAGCTGCGAGCTGTCGGCGCCGACGCAGTAGAGGTTCTGGCTGTTGAGTGTGGCCTCCCCCTGCTCCTGCCACAGCTGCATCCAGCGGATGTCGCAGCTGCAGTTGAAGAAGTTCTGCTCCAGTCTCCTGTGGGCGTGGAGAGAGCAGGACGGAGCCCTGAACCGGAGAGGGCCCAGCTCCCCTCCTGGGGCAGGGGGGCCATGAAGGCTGCCGCCTGCCCGACAGGAATGATAACAGGAGGCTGGCACGATCTTGCAGGAACAAAAACAAAAAACCTCTGAACTGATGACATTATTTAATTTTTAAGTTATCAGGCTCGATTTAAAAAAAAAAGTCACCCCTACTTAACTCACATAGAATTTTTTTCAAAAAACTTTTTTTAAGTGGATTTGGAACAACTCTTCTCAAACCCCCAAAAGCGTCTCAGCTCAATGACAATCCCAGCCAAAGCCACCCATGATTGACAGGACTCCCATCAACCTCTCTGATCTGACTTCTATTGGGCTCACCTCCCCAGCTTCTCGTCCGCTTTTGACAGGACTCCCATCAACCTCTCTGATCTGACTTCTATTGGGTTCACCTCCCCAGCTTCTCGTCCGCTGCTAGGCTCCTCCCAGCACGGCCTACATGCTTGCCCCTCAGGGCCAGTGCCCAGGCTGCTCTCCCCTCTGCCGACAAGGTCCACAGCCCCGATAGCCGAAAAATGCACCCCGTCACTTCATGAGGGACCATGCCGCTTCTCTGCTGATCCTCTAGCCCGGGACTTCCTAAGCCTTTCCACTCACGACCCTTTGTCACCTGAGAAATTTGCAACACCTTTTACTGCTGCCAATTTTTTTAAAATTAAATAATAATTTTTATTAGGGGCTCATACAACTCATCACAATCTGTACATACGTCATCTGTGTCCAGCACTTTAGTACGTCTGTTGACTTCATCATTCTTGTGACACCCACTTTCCACTTGAGCCCCTGGTGTCAGCTCATTTTCCCCCTCCCTCCCCGCTCCCCTCCCCCTGAACCCCTGATAATTTATAATTTATTATTATTTTATCATATCTTACCCCATCCAACGTCTCCCTCACCCACTTCTCTGCTGTCCGTCCCCCAGGGAGGAGGCCACATGTAGACCTTGTCCTCTGTTCCCCCTTTCTCCCTCTCCTTCCCTCCACCCTCCCACCATCGCCACTCTCTCCACTGGTCCTGGGGGGTTCATCTGTCCTGGGTTCACTGTATTTCCAGTTCCTGTCTGTGCCAGTGTGGGGGAGTGCAGAGTGGGGACCCAGGGCCCATCCGGGGGAAATTGGACATCCCCTTGCAGAAGGGCTGCGGGGAGGTGAGGAGCAAATCAGAGTGCAGTGTAGTAACGATGAAATATGCAATTTTCCTCGAGTTCTTAAATGCTTCCTCCACCCACTACCATGACCCCAATGCTGCCAATTTTTTCACACACACAGCCCAGTGGATGGCAAGGTCAAAACCCAGCCCCGCCTTCTCCACCAGCCTCCTGGTCACTCACGGGGAGCAGCTCACCACTCCTCTGAAGGCAGCCATGGCCTCAGGGTCAAGGACAGCAGCCATTCATCGCAGACTCTCGAACGCAAAGGGCGCCCAGCCAGCCTGAATGCCTGGACCTCAAGGTGGAAGATGATTCTTTTCCTGGCTCATTAAGTGAGGGAGTGGCAGTTGGGTAAGTTACACGAAGACCCAAAATATTTTTGATCATCAGCAAATTCCAAAATAGTTAAGCCTATATCAAAATTCATCAGCTTTGCCGGAAGAGGCAAGGCCTTGTGGGGAATCAGTCAATGGTTTCTGGCCAGGACACATCGCAGGAGACGTGCCAACACTCTTTCTTTTGCACCCTGCACCTTCCAGACAAGGCAGGAAAAGAGTGTAAGCTTTACTGAGCATCTGCTTCTAACGGCACCCGAGGGAGGAGATTGCTAGTCTCATCCCCACGCAGGTGAAGGATTCTCTCTGGGAAGGCTCAGCATCCCTCAGCTGGTGCTGGGACGCACAGGGCTGGGGCCTCCGTCCCCAGGCTCTGAGTCTCATGCACGCTCTGGCCCTTCTGCACTGGGTGCAGGGGGAGAGGCAGAGATGAGCAGCTAGGCTCTGAATGGAGTGCTCAGGCAGGCGGAGGCTGAGGAAAGAGTCAGAGAGAAGGCAGGCTAGGCATCCCTGGGTGGTGCACAGGATGAAGCGCTCGCTGCAAACCAAAAGGTTGGAGGTTGGAATCTACCCAGAGGGACCTCAGAAGAAAGAAACACAGCCACAGCAACCTGCAGTGAGCACAGGTCTGCTCTGACATATGTGGGGTCCCTAACTCAGAGTCAGCTAGATGACTGAGCACAGGTCTGCTCTGACATATGTGGGGTCCCTAACTCAGAGTCAGCTAGATGACTGAGCACAGGTCTGCTCTGACATATGTGGGGTCCCTAACTCAGAGTCAGCTAGATGGCTGCTCCTACAGTTTGGCTTTGGGACCCAGGGAAAGTTAAGGGCATGTTGTGGGCAGGTGTGTGAACAGAGGGGAGCAGAATTTAGCAGGGAGGTGAGTCCATGTGGAGACACCTGGGAAAGGAAGCAGACATGAGAGTGGGAGGCAGAGGGTGGGGCTTCCTGGCCAGGAAGGCTAGAATGCCATCAGGGGCCACTGAGGTCCCAGGAGCTGTTAGATAGCAAGGCCCAGGATCTTCCTAAGAGCAATGTGACAGCAGGGCACAGGCTGACCACGTGGAGACACCAGTCAGGATGTCTCCAAAATGCAGGCTCGCCCTGAGCCCCGATGCAGCCTGGGCATTCCTCCAGGTGCACGCCGAGGGGCGCAGAGGAGCAGGAAGACCAAGGCACACGCTGCTGCTCTGGGCAGGCGCTGGGATCCATCTGCCCACAGGGGCAAGGAGGCGGGGAGTGGGGGGGGATGGGGGGGTGGGGGCCTTCCAACTCATATACAGGTGCCACGCAGGCTAGTGGGGCCTACACGGGCTCTAGCTGTTTGGTTTCAGGCTTCCTTTCGGCTCTTAAAATATTTTCGAGGTCTTAAGGACCTTTCATATTTCTGAGGGTCATAACTGTCATTATTTAGGACGCTAGGAGTTAAAACTGAGAAGGTTTTCAAACACACGTGTAACCTCCATTCCCCAGAAGAACCTAGCAGTGCAGCGGCTAATGTACTTGGCTGCAAATTGATAGGTCAGGGGTTCAAACCCACTCCATGGGGGAAAGACGAGGCCGTCTGCTTCTGTAAGGACTGACAGCCTCTGAAAGCCATGGGGCTGCTCCACTCCGCCACCGTGTGCTGGATCTGACGCGCTGGCAGAGGGCTTGGTTCCGTGACGTCTCTTTCAGTCGTCAGAGGAATGATAGTCCGGCCCTGCCGAGTGGACTTGAACATGCCAGTGCCCGCCCCAGGGAGAATGAGGGGAAAGAGGCACACAGGGTCTTGGTGTTTCTATGAAAATCATGTTTGACCTTGCAGTCCCCCTGGAAAGGGCTGGAGGGTCTCCAGGAGACCCTGGACCATGCTGATCATTTCTGGCTCTGTTGGCACAGAAATGCCTTCAATGGGTATGGCTGAGGAGCAGGAACTTCCTCTCTCCTGTTCCGGGGGCTCTAGGTCACAGGCTCTCCAGGACAGCTGGCACTCAGCCTCTGTCTGTCTGTCTGCTCAGGGCAGAACCCTATGGCTCTCGGGTTCTCTCGCTCTGGTGTTGCTGACGCCCCTGGCACTGTCCCCCCACATGGATGCTTACCCATCTCTGTCTCAGAGGCTCCAACACAATTAGGGGTGTAACATACACCCTCACTCACCTGATAAAGAGGACCCCTGTGCCAAAAGGACCACACCCCATGCCACGGGTCAGGATGCCAGTACATTCTTTCTGAGACCCTTTAAAGCCACCACTTAGAACTGCTGCTCCGTTAGTGAAGGTCTAGAGCAAAGGGAGAGAAGTTGGGGGGAAGGAAGGGGCAAGCCAGGAGAACCCACGGGGAGACAGGGGCACTCGGTGCTTTGCTGTCAATCGAAGGAGGGACAATATGACCTCAAGGTTTCCAGATCCAGACACCAGGCCCTCGATGGAAGAGAGAGGGACTACGTGGAAAGGGAGGGATTACACAGCTCCAGAAGGGGGGTGGGGACACCAAGTCCTTGAAGAGAAAGGGGAAGGATGCGGGAAGAAGCCTTGGGGAGGAGGCCTCTGAAGTTGGACCCTGAGACAGAGAACAGGACAAGGCAAGAGAAAAGAAGAGCGGGTGACAAGACAAGAGGAACAGGAAGGTCTGCCATAGCGGTGAGCCCCCCCC